GTCTTAGGTTCAAAGTACAAAAGAATAATAGTTGAGCATGTTGGTCATTACAAATTAACAAGCATTTATTTCCTCTAAAAGCATCAATCCTTCAAAAAAAGAAAAAACCATCATAATGTGAATTCCTATTAATAAAACCTAGCTTGATAAACCTGCCTTTTATTTAATTTCATGTTAAAACTTTTTTCTATTCATTATTATACGGTTATTTTTAGATCGTCAAGGGTCAATGTATAAAATGAATTACTGAAATTGTTGATGAAATTTTCATAATATGTAGTGTTTTGTTATCATTTTTTTTTTCACCATTATTCATTTGTGTAGAGGTCTTTAAGGGTTGGTCTACGAAACATAAACTCTTTATAGATAAAATATTCATTATATGCGCTATTTAAATAACATCGATTCTAACCTAAAGTTAAGAACCTCTTAATTCGACTGAAGTGCGTTATTAGTATAGATAATCGCGTGGGGCCGAGTATAATTAAGGATTAATATCACGCGTGCTTTCGGAAGTTGCGGAAATTGCGCGACGAGGGCAATTTCTGCAACTTCCGAAAACACAACTGATATTAATCCTTAATTTTACGAGGAACGATGTGATTACTTGTTTATAATATAAAGGGGCAAAATGTTTTCTTACTGATCTCGCTCAAAACGGGACGCCATTGTTACAAAACAAACAGAAATTTCTTTACCTTGGCAGCCGTTGCTAAGCGATTTTCAGCCAATCATTTTCAAGTAATTTTGCCCGGGGCAATTACAAAAATTAAGAAAAAATGCCCTCTGTCTTGACCAATCACAATTCAGTAATTTTGCCCCTTATATGATAAAAAGTTGAAATGAATGTAGAGTCGAAAGAAAAGTAGTTTGTATGTAACAAAGATGAAATTAATTATTTGGTACTTGATAAAAACCTCGTACTCAAAACAAAGCCGAGTGTATCGTGGCTAGGTCAGTATGTGTTCATTAAAATATGAAGCACGCAGGAAGTCTGGAGAAAGAGAAAGGTGCACAAGAGTTGCCAAAGACGTAACCAAGAGCCATCATAGTTTTATAAATGATAAACTTATCCCCTCCTTCATTTTCCTTCTCGATCGATAGAATATCATGTTCCCTTCAGCACTGTCATAAAGTTTTCATCATCGGAGGACAATTGCTAATCGCTCGAGGGAATTAGAACATAAAGAATTAAGTCACCTGCCGGAAAAATAAAAGCTTGTCTGATAACGTAACATTTACTTAGAATTTGTTGGTGAAAGGAGGANCCCCCCAATTCCCAGTAAACAGGCCAGACCACATCACTGTAATTTCGTGAGTGGGTTCTTTAACGTCCCCTGCCAAACCAAATTAACTAATTAATAGATGCAGGAATCTTCATTATGTGAGTTATCTACATAGAAATTAATTTAAGTCTAATGTGAAAATGCGTCCTGATTAAACGTTCTATGTTGGGTTTCCGGTGAACTTGTACAATAATTTATAAAATGCTGCAATTGATTTGATAACATCAACATCCTTAGCAATCAATTTATCTCTAGCGGCTGCATCAAGAGGATGCGGAGGGCGGGGTTGAACTGCATTTTGTCGACTGTTGTCTAGAGATGTCACTCAGATTATAAAACATTAACGGAGAAGGAACTTAGGATACTTTCCATTTGAACATTTTGGTTAATCGACTTCACGCTTTTAGGATCTTACTAGAATTTCCCTCCAGCTATTTAGCTTTTCCTTGTAGACCACTGAAGAGAATTTGTTTCTACATCTAGATAACACTTGAAAGAAAAAGTTGCTACATAGAGTATTGATATAATATGGATGTGCTTTTAAGCGGCAACTTATCATGATCAAAACTGATATCAGCATGGATTATGATAATGCAAACTGGACACTTGTCGACTCAAACTGATGGTAAATGATTTATTGCATGGCTGACCGTGCGTATATCGTCGACAAACAAAGTACTAAAGCAAACTTTTGCTTTGCCGACTGTGCACCATTCGCGTGCTTCTCGGTGAGTTTTATTAGTGTTTACTTTTTCAAGAATTACAAAGGTTTTAGCATCAAATTGTGCCCTTTATAAAAGGGCTGTAGGTGCAATCAGCTCTAACTGATCAGGATGGATTGCAGAAAAGACGAGGGTAAAAATACCGAGGTATCTTCACGAGTAAGGTTATAGTTTAACCGTACAATCTTAAACTCACAGAAGAAGTAAAGAAAAAGTTTCGAACTTTTAAAAAGTGTAAAAGGCTATGCAAGAATGGTTAACATTTCTTGAGAGCGTTTAACAGAGAAAATTTGAAAGCCTGGTTCGAGGTCAGGCCTTCGGATTCTGCGGCAAATGCTGTACCAACTAAACGCGATAGTTATATTGTTAAATCCTTGAAGTATCTCGTAAGGTCGCCTTTCAGCTAAAGCCCAAAGCTACAGTTTATAGGCTAGAGTCGATGAAGCTTTTTTGGCCCAATTAAAGGAATTGCAAGCATCATGAATATTATTCAAATGAATCGATCGTTGAGTTCCACTTAGGATAAGGTAAACATCATGTCAACTAAAAGAATAGATGTATGGGATGGGACCCCCTTGGGAAAACATATCCCTTGCTCAAGATATTGGACATATATAAATCGGTTCTGCTATGGTTAAGTTACCTTCATTTGTGTCGTACTTAAGATGCAAGTGTGCGCTTACAACCTTTTTTATCTTTCCGAAAGCAAACTAGTTCAGACTTGTTGATCTAAACAGAATATCAATAAGAGAGGAAGCAGCCTCTAATTTCACTACTCCAGTCTTACTTTAATCTAAAAATACAGTTTCGCTAGACAAAAGTACTGAAACACTGAAGGCAAATTTGCGTGAATCATCTAGTGTGCTCAGAGCAATTTGTTTGTCCGTTTAGATTGGCGGCGTGTGTTAATAAGCTTAATTATGCTCAGAATAAACCAACTTCCTGTTTTTTATCAGCAATGAGAGGCAACAGTTTTAAACAGTCTTTATCACAGAAATATTTTGAGGTAATGCAATAGCTTTCACCTATAAAGTAGTTTTTCGCGATAAAATGCTTGCATGAATCGCATCTATGTGCTTCGAAAAAAATCGACAGACAGCATTGAAAAAAGTGCAGCAGACCAAGGAAGGTTTGATTTTAATTTGACGACACCTTCAGCTGTTTTTTATGATGCAAAAATAGAATTGCGAGGCCAGCATTTCGTAATCTTTTCGATCTCAAGTTTGAGGCTTAAGAATGAAGAGTGAGTCAGCCTGTTGGGTTATTATGCTAGTAAAATTATAAAAATCACTCATTTGTGATTTATGATAACCAAAATGAAAAGGTCATAATGTGTCGTTTAACGTAGCCTTGACTGACAACTGTTGTCAGTGGCCGTGAGTTATCGATAAAGCAATAGAGTTAATGTTCGCGGGCATGAATATGTTTTGGGCCAGATTCAGAGCTAGTCATCGTAGCCTGAGCCATTTGACGAAGGTCAAAATGACTCTGAGATGGGCCTAAAACATATTTATGTCCAAGAACATAAACTGCGTCACCATTATTATCACTTCGGAAGCCACTGAGGAAAAAAGAAAAAAAAAAAAAAAAACATCGAAACAGCCCGAACAATTACGTGAGCGTGCGAGCGCGCTAAAATATATTTTTAGCCAGAAAAATCGGCAACAACGCCCAACAAAGTGATAATAATATTAGTCACTGCTAAAGACAAATGTGTGCCTTTCTTAGGACTATTGAGGAATATTGCTGCCAGCCCAGGCCGTAGGCCTCAGCTGGCTGCAATATTTCTCATAACGCCATGTGCCGAAGTAATTATTTATTATAATTATTGACCCCCATGAGATCCTATTGTTCAGTGTCTGTGTTGGATCTTCGATTTTAGTCGCACCTATGTGTGATAATTGTCATGCTCATCGCTATTGTTCTTTGTTGTGATGAATATATCTTAGATTTTAATTGCGCCGCGGGTTGTTATGGTAGCTCGTTGTTATAGTTGTTCAAAACAGTTCTAATGATGGAATTAATTCATGCAAGGTGCGTAACACTGCTAATTTGCATACTTTATAAGCCAGAGAATTCAGTCATTTTACTCAGTGCGAACCTGGGTTTAGAAAGAGGATGGATTCGTCGGAAGACGAAGGATTATTTATTACACAGAACTCTACGAAGGCAGATATTTCAGCGGAAATCGAGGGGCACCACACTAATCACTCTCTCAGGCGTTCTTGTGCTACACGGTTGTATGATGGTAGTGTTTCAGAACAACTTATCCAAGAAACGACTGGTCAGCGGTCTTCCGATGGTGTCAGAGCATAAGATGTACCTCATCAGCACTCAAAAGGGAAGCAGGCGACATTTTGTAGGGTTCTCTTTCAAAAAAGGCTGTAATTGATGTAGAGAAAAAGGACGAAAACGGTGCTGGGGAAAATTATACTGCACGAGAGGTTAAAGTAGTAAGTCCGGAAAAATGTGATCAAGAGGGTAGTAATCAGTCAGTAGTTGTTAGCACTAATTCCACTAGAATTGTTATTTCCTATAAATGAACTGATGAATATAATACTTCTTAATGCAATCAGGGGATTGTGCTCCATACTATCAGTCTCCTTGATTGTATTTATTTTCAGTGCTTGAAAGTTTTAGTTGATTAAAGTGGCACTTTGAAACAAATYTTAAGTTGCAATGAACGTGAGTTAAACGCAAACGGTAATGTTGACAATGCGGTAAGCTATCAGTTTTGGTGCGCTTTATACATTAAATTTCCTAAAACAAGCTGCAATTATTTTAATAATTGTAACCTGCACACTGCAATATTTTTAATATTGCAGCCTGGACACTGCAATATTTTTTAATATTGCAGCATGCTTATTTAGCGCGTTTAATTATACTACCCCTGATAATTTCCCTGCTAACAAAAAGGACCGCCTCCGTTTTCCTCATACAGTTGTTTTGTCATCTTAAAGACTACAATCGTTGATTTAATGCAGAGAGAGAACAATAGAATTTCATGGGGATCAGTAATTATTGAGATCAAACTTCGATGGTTTATTGTAAGCAAAGCACCGAAGTGGATTAGTTCGCCGATGTATTAACGGGAAATGCAATCTATTGTTCAGTACAAGACAGAGACAAAGTGTGGGGCTGTTGAGATGAAAGCTATTAACCAAGTAACGCTTTCATTTTGTACTGAGTATTGAGTTGTACTGTTTATTACCAAATTGTTAACAAGTCTTTGGATGAACTTCAAGTCGTGTACGGCGTCGATTCCGTGCTGGGAAAGCCACTAAGCTGTACTTAAATCCCGGCGTGATACTGTTTATTTTAAAAGCTGTGCTGTTAGTTCCAATTCAGTAAGGTGTTAGATCCAAAGATGTGACCATTCAAATAAAATTTACAGTGCTTCACCTTCAAATTGCACTGTTTATTTTGCTGAACATTGCGGCTCTAGCTCTCTAGTCTGCGAATGAAACGTGATTAAGTAAAACCCCTAGTGCCGCCGTTGACCCTTTCAATATTGATGTGCAAGATGACACGAAAACGTTGGCAATTGACAAGATTGGAAGGGGAAGAGAGGCGAAGGAATATCATAAACGGTTGTTCTGGAAATGTGACCCTACTCATTATGTCTGCAAGTATAGGGAAGGCAGTTCTTTCATATGCTACTCTTAATTGTGCTGTACAAGGTTTTTTTTTTTCTTCTAATTTTTAAGTAACTGGATAAACCTTTAGTGTTTGACCATTCAAATGAATACTGTTTACCTACTGTAAAAGTGTAGTTTGATCGTACCAGTCAAAGCGACCGAGGTGTTTATCATGTTGTTCAGATCAATTCTAAGACCTTCTAACATTTAAATCTGAGGATGGAAAACCTCAGCAGTGTTTGACCATTCGAAAAAATGCCTAAGCAGAACTGTCATTATTAGAATATTGATGGATGCTTCTATCTGAAGTAACTCTATTTGTTTGGAGTGGATATGAATTACGCGCGAAATCTTTTGGCAAATTATTAGATCTTCCATTCCCAAAAGCTTATTCTCTTCGATTTGTTTATCCTAATCCATAACTGTAAATATGTATTTAAAGGGCTGTAAATTTGTAACTTTAAGCATGAGTGACTATCTAGGGAGTGCAATATCTTGAGTGCAAAGTCTACACTAAGCGATTTTGTTTGTTTCACTTTCATTTGGTTTTAAGTAGCATCAAACGTGATATCTTGACTGTTGTATAGGAAAAAGAAAAAGAAAAATTTCCTCGATCGTTGCCGCAATTCGTATTGCGTTGCGAACCTTTGAACCTTCTTGTATAAATTACATTACAAAATGGGCGCGCGCAATGCGAAGAATTTTTATTGAAATAAAAACCTTTCCACCACTCAGTCTATCAAACATCCAACTAAAACCACCCAGGCATTTTAAGTTGCTCTTCAAACCCTCGAGTTCTTCTGTTCAATCTAGATAAGAATAGGTTTAGAGCTTATTACCTCGATACGGGTGACTAGAATGACGTCATCTTGAGCGTGTGTCGCCAGTGTGAGGCCATAGGTTACGTGGCCGAATGGTTCACAAACACGGCGATGACTTGTTTGCTTAAAGTTACGAAAGATTACAAGAACAAGGAAAGTGTATACAAGTAGGGTGATCCTCCTTTGACAGGATTTTGGAACAGCCGTTGTTTTAAACGTGATTTAACAACGCATGATAGTAACATATTGATGAAACATGCTGTATCACGGCAATTCAAATTATACCCGAGGCAAATCAAACAATCACAAACACCGCGGATCAGCAAATATACGGATGTCTTTTTTGGGCCAATTAAAGGAAAGGCTTTGTTCTTTTGTTTGTAGCTGTCAAGCCGATTAAGAAATCAGTCAAAGTTCTTTTCACTTGGTGCAGATTGTGAATTCTTAATTGTACTCGACAGAGCCATTAAAAGGATCAGTGGAGATTACTCATAGGAATAAAACACGGAACAAATTTTCTTGATCTCGTGAGCTGAAGGAGTCTTTTGTTTCGAAGAAAGGCTAAGAATGTCTGTACATAAAAGAACGCGTGACGCTCAGTTTGTTTAGAAAAGACCAGCACTGAAAGCGAAAACTTTGCAAGTTTTCGGGATTACAATTTGTAATATCAAGACTTCAAGGTAGCTCTTGAAACGATGTTCTCGCAAAAAGGACTCCACAGACATCCAGTAAATAAATGGAATGAGCGAGATGTCTGCAGATGGCTGAAGAAGAGAGGGTTGGGAAAACTTTGGAGGAATTTTCATGGTAGGCCTAGTGGTGTTTATATGTGCAGCGCACTTTCTTCGCCTCGTTTAACTTAATACAAACAAGTTCGCATGGAACTTTAACTACTGCACTCTGAACGATTTAGGAATTGACTATTTAATTTTGTTTTGCTTACTTTAGATAAAAAAGTAGATGGCAAAGTTTTACTACAAATCACAAGTCAATATCTTGGTAAGTATTAGTTACAATATCTATGTCTGGTTCGACCGTTCGTTTAAATATGATCTTGGCAGTATTGTTAGCGCAAAATATGGCGGTTTTTTCGGTAACAAAACTTCCCCACGTTCAAATTAAAAGCTTGAACAACGATATGTCCGGCCAAACTTTTTCAAGCCTAATCGCTGTCAGAGACCATAAACCCATTCGTTAAAAAATCTCCAGGAAGCCGTCTCAAATTTTAAACTTCTTAATTATTTATGTAATCTGAAAACGTGCGCCTCTGAATACTACCAACACACGGAAAACCGTTCATCTGAATCAATTCGAACACGCGATTCGTGTCGCAGAATACCTAGTTAATCCTAGCACGCTAAGACTTACTATAAATAAACTCAACAACTATAATTTTCGCGTATTTTGGTAAAAATGTTTTGTTTTTCTTATAGACATTATGAGATAATGCGCATAGGAATTTAATCGCATATCTGGCAAAGTTTCCTATTATATCACTTTGCAACTTTTCGTATGTGTGCAAGTAGATTGACGTATTGAGATTATCGACATTGTTAGGCACTGGGTCACGTATAGGATATGATTTCAAAATATTTAATTTGTAAACCAAAGAGAGGAAATTTAGTCTGACGTAACGGCAAACAAACCCATCTTAACGCCGCCGCTTACGCATCAGAGTCACGCGCTGAACCATCAATCTTCATCAAACTCATATGCGTTATTTATCAAGTGTTCGAAAGTTTATATTCAACTCACCAAATATTGGCTTGGGTTATTTTGGAACCTTCCTTTTGGCCGATTTGTAGACCGCAATGAAATTGAGGTCTTTAGAAAATGCAATGACCATGACAAAAAAAAAAAATAATATTTAAAACGAGCTCCGTTATCTAACCGACTTACTCGCAACAAACCTATTTATGAATGATTTGAAAAGGGCAATTAATTTGGATAGGAAAATGCTGCCCCAGAACGTGACTCACTCAATAAAACGACACGATCCACATGAACTCACTACATCGCGAGACAAATTGGTCAATTTGTAAAACTTTTTTGCAAGTAAAATTCAACGCGATGAATAACCACCATTCTTTTATGATTTCAAAGCGAACAGTTCTTGCTTTATCAGTTGGCCAATAATTAAGACACTGTTTTACTTTATTTTGCTCGTGAAGCCAGCCCGTGAAGGTCTTACCTGCCAAAGGGCGGACAAAGTTGAAATATGAACTCTCCCATTCTAATTAAGAATTTTTTGTGGTCAACCATGCAACAATATTGTGAACGCACAGTATCCAATTAATCAGAATGGACTTTGGTAGTTTTCACCAATCGGGGTTTCGCAAATTTTACCACTCTCTGTTACACGGCCAAGTGTCATTTGCTACACATTTTTTAGCATATGTTGCTCCTTAAAATCCAATCACTTTCGTTCGCTCGTCCAGTCTAGCCTCAGTTTAAAAGATGCAATAAATTTTAACGGTGATCAGAGTTAGAGATGTATATGTAACTCTCTAGCTGTCACATATGACCATTCTGATACTTTTAACTTCCAATCATACCAAAAGCGAAGTCGAGTGTTTGTGAACATTTGCTTATAAAAAGGATGGGCCAGTTCGCCTCCTTTTCCGAGGGGCAACCCCTGTAAAGACCCAGGCTAACCCGAGTACCCGAGTAGGTAGTGTTAACACGCTTCAAAAGCCTGCGCCAAAACTGACCCGTGGGTTTTTATCTCCCTTTATTAGCTACGTTTGTTTTGTTCCAAATTTTATACGTGTTGGTTTTTACTACACAATAGTGCACTACTGTCCCATTAAAATGAATTAATTTCACTCTTATTTTGACAGAAGAGGTTTTTTTCTTTTTTTCTTTTTTTTTTTTTTCAAACAATTTTTTTTCGGCCCCGAAAGAAAAGTTAAAGTCAAAGATGCAATTTTTTTTTTTCGTATAAACTACTTCTCAGTTTTTCATTTCTATTTCTTCTTTCTCTCGATTTTATTGAAGAAAAGCACTGGACGAGAAAAGAATTACCCTCCATGTAGAAACTGTAACAATGTAGCGTTGAACTGTGTGTTCTTGTCAAAGGGGCAGACAGGAAAATGGGAGTCAAATGACAATTGGCTGAGTCCGCTTTCAAAAATTAGATTATCATAAGATAGCCCCCCTACTTGATTGCAGGAATTGGAACAAAAAGGTTTAAACAATTCTTTTTTGCCTAGATCACATTATGTTGCCCCGAGGTTTAATCTTTCTTTTTTATGTCGTGTTTATTAGGTGATCTATATTTGAAACTGAACACCACTGAACCTTCTTATTGACTGACAAGATCACTTGATTCCGTGACTTTTTTGACGTTCGAATGTCCGAAACTAACAAAATATTCAAAACATTAAAATCATACGGAATGTACCTGAAGAAAACAACCGCGTTCTGAACAATCTTCACACGATTCTTTGTTGAAAAACGCAAATGAATCATTCATCGTTTGTTGGGTCTTAGGATTAACGTGCTAATCCCCCAACGAACCGCTAAATGTTTTTAAACGCACTGTTGAGCTTGACAAAATTGTCAAATACTTTTCACCTTGGACGGGCGCCATTTGGGTGCAAAAGTCGTGTACCCACTCCGTTTAAATTCAAGTCACCGAATACAAATCAAATATGATCGTTTTAAATCTGGTTGTGTATACCGTTGCCCACACCTTATGTCTACACACATTCCTTTGCCATCAATTAAGTTGATGATTAGTGGTCTCTCTCGAGACAGATTACCGAACGGATTCTATTACAAATATTTTCAGTATCTCAGCAGCAAAAAGATCTGCGGGCCAAGGTCGCTTGTTTCTAATTATCTTCTCACGGATAAAACATGAGTGTTTTCTTCTCTGACTACAGAATTACGAAAGGTAAGAAATCTTTGGTCCATAACCTTGCCCTGTACCTGACTAAAAATTTGATTTCCGAATGCTATCAAATCAAGACATCGAGATGTATTGAGGTATTTTGTTTTCCGGCATACAATACCATTGTTTAAAACGATCTCATTGTGACAGCTTTTTCACGTTGTAAAAGCATCCACACGAAATTTCTTGTTTTGACTTGCCTTGAGTTTTGCAAACGTTTTACTTTAGAATCGACAATCGTTGATTTCTTGTCAGAGCAAGGCAAATCGTTATGACCATCAAGTTTATTTCAAAGGCGTCAGTGTTCTTTGCATGGTGTTCCTGTGTATTTCATTTTCAGTGCTTCATTCTAGACTACTTGTGAAAATGACTTCTAAATCGACAACGAAAAGGGTTATAAGGAATGGCTATCGCCCACGCTACGCTTTACTGAGTTACTTTCGGAAAATTAATATTTATCCACAGCTCTCGAGGAGGTCCTGAAGTCGTTCCTCGGTTCAAATAGTTTCAAAATGCCTTCAGTCTTCTCCGACTGTAAACACTCAGCTTAATTAGTTAATTCTTATGCCTTGTTTCTATAGTTTTTTTTTATATGCTTTCGATACGTCAAATCAAATTAATGAACAAATTAGTTTCTTCCAAAGAGATTTTCTAATTTCAAAGATTACCATATGGTAAAATGCCGAAGAAATAATTTTTAAGCTGCCTTAGACATAAGCTAAATTCGCTTGATATCGTCCCTCGAGCCATTATTTAGAATCACTGCGTTGTCTGCCAAAATAAATAGCATTTTTATGAAGGTTTTAGGTTCTCAGAATTAATGAATAGCGAAAGAGAGCAGCGTGAGTCTAATCAGATAAGACGGCTCCTTGAGAGGCCGACCACAAGAATTTATGTGTCAACAGCTTTCTTCCATCTTTTAAGAACTCCTTATTTACACATTATCATACTTTTTGGTCGAAGGATTAAAATATTTGCCCGCGTGGCTCTCAGATAATCGGGCGAGGGGAGAAAATGAACACACGCAGGGCTCCTTTCAACCGTGCGTGCGTGACTCCCTTGCGGCACGCACGCCGATTGTAGGCTTGAATTTTTCTTTTACTCGTAATGCATGAGGTGAAGCCAGTACGCTGGTCACAATCGATCAAACGGCATTCGCTATGTGTATGTACCGCAACGTGGTCTCTCATATCACTTTCCATAATGCTATTCGAGGAAAGAGAAAGTTTTGACTTTCATGCCTTCAATGTCTTATTTTGTTTCCAGATCGCCTCGGAGTATCAAACCCGACATCACGTGATAAGCTCTTAACAGCCGTCCACGAACTCAAGCTTTTCGGGGGCTCCATTCCAGATGAGAGAATGTTTCGCAGTCCACGGCCTAAAAGGAGGTCCCTTCCAGCCCGGCCCGCGGGCATGCATGAAATTTTACTGAAAGAAGCGTTGTCCGATTCGGTAGAGAAAGGTAACTCAGTAGTTAATATAGTTGATTGATGTCATTGAGCCCTGGGGTGACGGGTCTTTCTGCTTTGTTCATGTTAAAGAAAATTTGTCTTTTAGACTGAATCTCTCCACCAGGAGTATATATGAGTAGCAGAAACTGGTAAACCGGGCGAAATGCCAGAGAGACGATAGCAACCAACTAGCGTCATGTCCCCCAAACAAAGTTAAAGAGGCGTGGCAATGCTTTGGCGGTGTGGCTCACTATGTTCTTATACAGATGTCACTTTTAAAGAAAATCTCTTATTGATTCCTTTCCTCTTTTTGCCTTTTGCTTCCAGGGGTTTCTCAGCGGAGGGAACTGGTGGAGAGGAAAACACCGCAGAGAGTTCTTCAAGAACAGACAGAGGAGATGTTGTCTGAGCCAGAAAAGGTGAATGACTGCGTCATTGATAACAAAAATACTGCTGGATGGTGAACAAAGGTGGGAGACGCTTGGGCCTGAAGGCTAAACTTCGGCTCGGGAGGCCCGTGTCGAGTATTCGCTATGTTGCTGTGTTGTATTTCTGAGCAATGCGCTTTGCTCTGACAGTGCCTCTCTCCATGGCCGCCCAGGAGCATAAATGATTATCCGTGGACTGACAGGGAAGTCTACTAAAGTTCCAAGAGTTTACTTACGATGGACTTTTTCTCATCAGGGAGAAGCAATATTCGTTGTCCCTTCCTTTTATAGAAACCGGGATGAGTGCTAGTGGGAATGAACCGTTAGGCCGATGTACTATTTGTTGCTGAAGCACGCTCTCTGACAATAGAATTAAACTCTGAAATGATTTTTAGGGAACCGTGCAAGTGCGCACACCTGGACTTAACCCTGACACAGAAATTACAAGCATCGAAATCACCAATCAGACCACAAGGTACATCGTCATTACGAACCGACGCATTTTAAGGTGGCTCTCATAATTTTCACTTCAGTGAATGAAAATTGTCATTAGAATTTAATCCGAAATTTAAGGAAACTTTTAGACAGATAAAATCGTTGCTATGGTTTTACACTTACCAATTCGAAACTGGACTGGACATCCACTGGCAGAGGGAAGTGGCACCCACCCATAATAGCCCAAGTAGTGTAAATTATTTCGAGCCACTTCAGAATAAGACTCGATTCTAACTCTGCATTGGCTGCAAAATGTTACGTTTACCTTTTTCTCATGCGCTGCAATTTTGTCTTTGCTTCAGTAAGGAGCTTGTCCGTTTGCTGCTTGAGAAGTATAACGAGCTTTCAAAGGATCATAACCTGTTTTATATAGCAGTGGAGATTGAGATTCAGAAGAAAGGTATCTCTTATTGACTGTGTAGATTGATTGACTGGTTAACTTCTGATTGACTGACCGACCGACCGACTGACTGATTGACTGACTGAATGGTTGTCTGACGGCCTGACTGACGGACTAATTTTGATATATCAACAAAGTTGAAATGGTAAATTGGCCACCGTAACGATTACAAAAGCTGACGTTTCGAGCGTTTTTGAGCGTTTTCGTTTTCGAGCGCTTTTGTAATCGTTACGGCGGCCAATTTACCATTTCAACTTTGTTGATATATCCAAATTATTTCGGTACCCCCGCCGACGCAGCCCCAAACAGTTTCTTTAGAAACTATCTGCCTGACGGAGTCCCTGACTGCCTGACTGACTGCCTGACTGACTGACTGACTGACGGACTGACTGATTGACTGATTGACTGACTGACTGACTGACTGACAGACTGACGGACTGACAGACTGATTGACTGACTGATTGACTGACTGACTGACTGACAGACTGACAGACTGACTGACAGACTGACTGACGGACTGACTGCCTGACCGGCCGACTGCCTAACTGATCGACTACCTGACTGACTGACTGTTTGAAGCCCTGACTCTCTGACTGCTCTAATTGACTGGTGACATCACAGACTGTCCCACTGACTGGAGACTAACTGAATGACTAGCGCACTAAGTGACTGACATACTTGGTGGCCATTTGACTGACTGACGTATTGTCTTACTGTTAGACTGTATGACTGACTGACTGACTGACTGACTGACTGAGTGACATCTAACTTTCTATCCGTTCGACTGGCCGACTAAATGACCTACTTTAGGAGTTCATGATTTTCTACCAATTGATTGATTGATTGATTAGCTTACCGAGCGATGGACTGATTGCCTGACGACTGGACTAACTGACTGCCAAACCTTAGGTGGAAAACGACATACTTCCTCATACAATATTTTCTTTCTCCTTTATTTAGATTCCAGTCTCCCGATGTCCCAGATGATGGTATTGGCCGACGATGCCCGTCCTTTGCAAATTCAGTCCCGTCAACCAACAGGGGAGGCCAAGTAAGTAGATTATGTGAAAACCATTCTCCAAGAAAGAGTTACCTTGCAGTCAAACGGTTGCATAGCATACAACTATACTCTAAGAGTTTTAAACAAGACTTTCGCAGTTTCATCCTCTCCGTCAGTGAAGATAATAGAGACCTTTTCTCGGTCCACGTTACAGTTTGTGCATCTCAGTTAAGAGTACAGTTTTAAAGTTTGCCGTCTGCAATCTGTTTTAATCCTCTCCTCACTTAACCACTTAACCATGCACTGAGCATAAATGGACGAAAATGAAAATGCAAAAGTATTTTAGTTGGACGCCATTTTTGATCTTTTTGTTTTTGCTTTCCGATCATTGATTAGTTACACTTCGCTACCATTACTCGTATTTCATTTGTATGCGAAAACCCGGTTTTCACGGAAAAGCCAATAAGACACAAGAGAAGCATTGTAACAAAAATTTTTTCAACAAATTCCAAGAACAAAAAAGGAAGGAGCCAAGAGTTGTGTGAAACCTGAGTCATATGCTATGACGTAACCCAATTGTGTTCACAACAAGGTACATGTAACCAAAACAATCACGATTTGTCGTGCAGATCAACACGATAGATTGATAGAGTCACGCAAGACTGGCCATCTGTGACCCGTTGTAAGAGACAGTCACGCAACACGCGCATGAATGATTTTTCTAAAATATCTGTAACTAGAATCTGTTTTAGAGAGCTTCGTTATTGGCTCTAATAAAGTCGTTTTAGGTATGGTCTAACACCTTATGTTATTCTATTGAATATCACTGAGGTCCATTGCGACTTTTTGACGTACTTGCACGTGAAACGTGGTCAAGATATGCCTCAGTGATACTACTCATTTAAAAACCAATAGGGTTAGATAAATGCCTTATCACGCAGGGTGTTGTTTAAAATCACGTGCACGCCACGGGAGATTGAATTGACGTGAGCTGTATTTACCATAATACCATGACAAATATCATAAGTATCATAATTAATATTGAGGATTGTTAGTATTGACACCCAAGCACAAGTTATCGTATGACGAGGTATGACGAGAAAAGCATAATTCGTACACCCCTCTTCTTCATCTGTGTGAATATAGATCATCGGAAGTTATTACTTAAATTCATTATTTTTTGTTAAAAGATTTCATTTGAAGATGAAAAGCGGCGGACTTCTAAGAGTTCAAGCTGGAATTCTGAGCCCAGGGGTAAGTTTTTTTTTTTTTTTTTTTAAACTGAAACAGTCATTATGTAATAGACGCTAGCAGACCTATTTTGACGTTTCTTCAATTCTTTCGAAAATAGTAAATAACATGATTATCCTGGTGCATATTACTGGCTTAGAAGTACTTATCAGGGTTTGGGTTAACTACTAGCGATAGTTCATCATCTGTTCGAATTATTTATGTCAACCACCTCTTAGTTAGATCAGCGGAATTAATCGAAATCAATCGAAATCATTTGAATCGACGATTTTGGTTACTCCTAACTGTTATGACCGCAATTTTGATTTCTCTTGAAGATTAAAAAAACGCATTCCTATTGCATAAAGGATTATAATTTCATCATATTTTTCAAACACAGAACATGCAATGGAGAGATTCCTCGTTTTCATCTCCTTGAGAGTAAAAATTCTCCCGGTGCCATCATTACAGTGCTGTAAAAACTGTGCTCGAGATAAAGATGACGATTTGATCTTTGAAATCGCACAATTCTGTTAACAGCAAAGGCGACTGAGAGATTCTTTTTGATGAGCTTTATCGCCCCTTTCGGTCCAAATGTATTTGTTACTTTTTTATTTCACCTTCTAGGCAACCTACAAATGCGTGCAGATATCTCGAAAAACTAGAGCCGACGAGGTCGTAAAGATGATTTTGTCCAGTTATGGTAGCGATGCACCGCCTGAGAAGTTTGTCCTGGTGGAAAGATTGTCAGATTCAGAAGGTAAAAGTTGTAGAAAATCATGAAATTGTCGTGCAAAATCTGCATTTAGATAACTAGAAGAGTAAGAAATGAAAGTTTGGATAACACGTCTGAGGCAACAGTTCTAGATTGCAATGGGTTTGCTTTATTTCGCAATTTGATTGGTCCAAAATCTCCAACCACCCTCTCAGCCAATCTGATGCATTCTAAAGCCAGTTGTGACTTGTTCACTTGTCATTCACGTGCTTCACGCCGGTTTCCGTCTTAACCATCTTCCCATGAAAGTTGTCTTTGTTTTGATTGACCAACATTGACCAACATTGGTCGGCTTGTGATTTATATTTGTTTCTGTTTTACGACACTCAGAAAATTATCTGAACTAACGCAGAGATCAGTAAAATTCTCGAGCATTCTTCCCTCTAATAATATTTCTAATAAATCATCTTCCTTTTCATCACGGTCTTGCATAGCTTAAACAAGTCTTTTGTCTTGCCCTTTTTTTTCAGCTGGTCGTATCCTAGAGGCAGACGAGTATCCGTTAGAAGTACAGTCTCGATGGGAGACTGGTGACCAAGGAACGTTCACTTTAACTCAAGCCGAGTTTGAGGTAATCATTGTTAACAGTTTCGAACGTTCCCAAAAATTGAATCTCTATTTGGCAAAGAGAAATGTTTTGTTCTAGGCGTGGGACAGCGAAAACAATCGCAACATTGATGGATGGTGTACTTTGCCCTACCTGCAATCTAACACCCCTGCGAGGACTTAAATCTCAAACCTTCGATGTAGCACTCGGTTGCCCGACCAACTGGGCTTCGGAGAACTCGCGAGTTAGTTACGTCTTTTAGAACGTTCATCTATGAAAAGTGTGTCAGTCATACAGCTTGGACCAGTCAAATAGAAAGAGTCGGGGGTAAAGATTTCGTGCTCGGCCGAAAGATGAAAGATGTTCGAGGTGTGCAGTTTCCGGATTTCTTAACTAGTCGGGTTTGAAAAGATTCAAGACCCGATGAAGACATGCTTTGCGCACCCCCCCCTCCCTTGCCCCGTCCTCATAGTCATCTATGATGGTGAAATTAATAGCCTCTTTCTTTTGACTAGGGTATCCTTCTTAGTGACGAAAAGAACCCACCAAATCAACAAGGTTCTTGTAGTGACAACGAAATGAACACCACAAGTGCTAGCGACCAAAAAACGACCTCGTCCTCTTCAGAAACAGAAGACAAGGAAAATAAGGAGGAAGTAAGCAAGCGCCGAACTTCGATCGATGCGCTAGATTTGCAAACTGTCAATCAAATCAAGCGTAAAGTTTCTCAGATAGACAATTTGAGACATAAATTCCAGGAATACCATGAATTCCACGGAAGCCACAGAAGGACCAGTCAGTCGAGTTCGAATGAAGTATTAGTTCAAGAGCCCAAGAAACGCAAAGTTTCGCAGATCGATCTCTTCAGGAGCAAATTTTTGGCGTATTATGGCGGTAAAATGGAAGGACCTGGCGCTTTGGATCCGTTGAGTGAGATCGTGAAGGCCAGCGAAACCGCTGGTAAAAATGGACAGAACAAGAAGTCGCCTCCATCACGATCACCTTCGGCTGAACATTCTGATGGTGAAGAACTACCGCGTTTCTCATCTTCGCCTCCTCCTTACCTCCGTGATAACAACAACAATAATAGACACAAAAGCAACAGCAGTAAAAACAACTATGTCTCACGTAAAGACTTAAATATTGTAAACATTAGGAAGGATTCTCCTACCGAGACATCACATCTACCACGTCTCAGTTTAGCAAGTGTTCTTCAGCGTTGTAAACTCATTACTGTGATTCTTAACAGAGAAGCGGAGGAGTCCTGGGGCATAGAGCTCGTTCACGTTACAAAAACAGGCTCTTCGGTGAGCCCGAATGACATCAATGAGAAAGATTGTGACGAGGAGAAAGTAGTTTATGTTCAACATAATGGACCCGGACAGAATTCCATTATAAACACGTCTTGCGCAGGCAATGTTAGTAATCAGTTGTCTGAGCCGACCTCGCCCCTCTCCGAGAGCTCCTCAGGCTCGAGTGAGCAGGAAATAACAACCATTCTAGGAACAAATGATCGATCAAGAACTGTGACGGAGAAGTTGAATGGAGACATGCGCCATATTGTTCACAAACAGAACCTTCACAGAAGAATAGGAACCATAATTAAACCCAATATTTTCCAAAGTCCTAACTTAAGTCCCACCTCATCGAGGCCTGATTCAGCATCTACATTGCGACCTACCAATCCCCTTCCACCAAGACCTTCTTCTGCACTTGCGCAATGGAAGAAAGAGGGCAGTCCTCAACCTCGTCCCGGTGTACGCATTGTGGCACTGACGGAGGGAGGGGTAGCGGAGAGAAGCAAAGAATTGGCTGTGGATGACTTAATTGTTGAGGTAAGGAAATATGGTTGGGATGGTTAGAAATACGTCTTGTTCATTAATTTGTATTTAATTCTCTTGAGGTCGAAACTCCATCCCTAAACAGCATACTGCGAGCTTCCAGGTATCTTGCAGGTCACTTGCGATGTTTAATATAAAATCTTAAAATGTTCCATAAGAATTGTCAAGCACAGCTCCCCTTTTCTCTTCTTGTGATTTAAATTTCCCGTCTTCAACACTGGCCTTTACCAGGAGTCATGCAACCAATGACCTTTTCACCCGCATACTAACTCAGGTTCGTGATTGTTCTTCAGATAAATGGCCATTTTGTGCTCAATTCTCCACTAGAACCTGTCATCGCTGCGATGAAAGAAGCTGATTCAGTGTCTCTTGTTGTGGCAAGATCCAAGCTCTCTGAAGTAAAACCAGAAGTAAGTACTTGCCACATTTAAGTCAGCTATATCTAATCAGAGAGTATTTCGAGCGAGTGTCATAAAAGCAATCGTCAACCTCGTTCCTAGGGTCTCTCATCTTCACCTCCCCCTGGAGCGAGAGAGGGACTGGAAGATGAGAGACCCTGGGAACGAGGTTAAGCAATCGTTGGGTAGTCACAGCGACCACTCAGAACAAAGGGGGTCATCACAACTTGTTAATGAGCCAATAACGATTCAGATAAAAACTGCTTGTAATCGACCTTTTGAGTAAAAAAACCTGAGTGAGCTTGTTGCCGGATTAAGTCCAGTTTTGTATCTCCACGGTCGCGAGGGTGGCTTGAGATTTTTAGATGAACCAGAGGGCGAAGAATGAGGGGGCAACGTAATTCCGCATTTCTTTTAATACTCATTGAGAATTGCTTCTTAGTGACACAGTAAGTTGTACCTACCTTCTGAACAAGGCCACAAGTTGGATCACCCCCATTCTCGCTTTGAAATTCACGCCACGAATCGTCGACAAAGGAGTGGCATTATCAGCTTCCGCACGTTTAACAATTCATCGATATTTTTTATTTATATTAAGCATACCTTGTGTCACTCACAGTAATGCTATTTTGACGGACAATTCTCTTACTCTCCATTATTTCCCTCTTGTAGGAAGAAGACAACAAAACTGATTACAAAGACGACATCAAAGCCTTGACGCTACAAATAAAGAATCTTGTTACTAAAGTCGGCGAAATGCAGAGCGATTTGAAAAAGAAAGACGACAAAATAAAAACCCTGAAGAAAATGGTCAAGAAAAATAGCGGGGATGGAAAAGGGAAAATTTACGAGTCTGTTCAAGTACTTGTTTAACAATCTGTGAAAAGCATCCTAAAGCGCGTGTAAAGGATGCTTTGGATGGGCGCGGTAGGCGAGGGGTACACCAACGCCTCACAAGCATTATTTGGCAAACCAGTCTGTTTTACAGGACTGACAAGTTGTCATTCTTGTCACCCCTGCAAGAGAAAGAGAGGGTCATAGGCGCCACTCCACTCCCCTCCCCTCTCTTGCCCGGGTGTGTGTCGACCAGGTTTTAACTGATATAATTCACATTCAACATGAGGAAAGAATTGGCAGATAGCTTGGCATCTTCCCAAACAAACAGAAATATTTAATACTTTGACATACTCTAATTAGGTATCATCGATACATCAGAAAACACTAAGAGCATGACCTTGACCTTTGAATAAAGGCTCACTTCATTCAACGCAGTAAAAAATATATCAAATATTTATGTCCACATCACACAAAAATTCAACCTCGCGAAAAATTAATTTTAAGGACAGTAAACTAGATATTACTTACTGTCGCAAAGAGAGCAAAAATTTATTCCTTAGAGAACGTAATGAAATAAAAGCGACGTAAAATTACATTTTAAACTTACTCAGACGAAAATAATAAATTACATTGGCAATAAAGAGTATACGTTCAAGCAACATCAAAGTAAGAATAAATTTGAAAACCGTGACAGTTGGTCATGTTACAATAAACACAATGTTATATTGCATACATTTATAAAATAAATTTAAGATATCTACAATGAGAGTTTGTCACTGTTTACATCTGTCTGTTGACAACTCTTTCACCTATCTACAATAATAATTATTTTTAGTTTTATTTCAAGGGTATGGTTTTCTTCCTTCCGTGCAAGTATCTTCAGCGCCTCTCTTTGGCGTCGTTCGTCTTTTTCCGAACGAGATTTGACGAGGGTTGACAAGGGCTGAGGGAAGTAGTTGACAATAGTTGGAAGAATTGAATGTAAGCACAAGAAGTAACGACAGCCTACGAAGGCTGACGAGAGTTGACGATGATAAACGGATATTGCCGATAACTCCCCTGAGCTTTCTTTGGGTCTCCTTGAAACCAAACATGAGTACAAGAGTTTCCTGTTCATAGCTTGACACTACGTTGATGATAAAACGTTGATGATTCGAGAGTAATTCACCTTCAGAATTCATTTCCAATGCTCGTTGTCAACGCTCTTTCTAAAAAGCAATGATTCTTTGTATAGTCTATCCAGCGGACGTCCACCATGTTTTCATGGTGGCGGTGAACATGGTTTAGATTTAATCCTCCGATTTCCAAACTGCTGTCTCAATTCCATTCGCCGAAGCACCAGTTTACATCTTTTGGAAGCCGCGAAATATTCTTCATCGGCGGCATTGGAGTCTTTCCTTAGCTTCTTCGGAAGCCAAAGTACCTTTGTCGTAAATTTAGGTGAAACATTCGGCTTAATTTCGGAATCAGATTCGGAAAGTTACTTGCTGAGGAAAGACTCCAATGCGGCTGATGTCCTCTGAACAGAATTGATGTTTCGTCGAATGCGGTCGCTAACACTGGAGGTTTCCTTGGAAGAGAACGACTGAATTTTCATCTCTCTGTTGATGGTAAAAACAAATAAAATAAGTTGGTTTCTTTAAAAAAAGAAGAAGTGATTCTCCAATGGCACAGTCTTCGCTGGGTTTTAGCACCTATTTCAATGAGAACTCAAAGTTGATGCACGTGGCATTTTCCAACGATGGCAGTTTTACAGGAGCCTGAATTTTAGTGAACTATACTTATAATAACTATATAATAACTATACCTATATAGCTATCTAACCTGGATTTTAATGAACTATAGGAAAAAAAGAAAGAAAACAGAGAGATGTGATTAACTAGTTGCAACTTATTTCTACTGAAGATTCAAACGTTCCTCCTTCATAAACCCCCCCACATTCTCCATCTATGTCATTTATGAGCCCACACTTTCTCGATCAGCGGAAGGGGTGTACCAAACAAAAATAGGATTAAAAAGATCATAAAAAACTCGCGTTTTGTTCAAATCGAAAATTTTTTTCTCAGAAGTTCCTTTTTTAATGTGGACTTTTGAATGACAGAATAAAAAAAATTGTGACACGGGCACTTTAAGGTGCTGACAAGGAGAATTTGTTTAACAATCAAGAGCTTATTTGGTTATTGATGTTTTCCTATATTCTTGTAACCTTACTGTGTAATTGAGGGGGGTACCGTAAGGAGAAATCAAATGCCTGTCATTCTCAGGGATCAAAGGCTAAATAAAGGAATTATATTAGTTCCTGAAAAGTTCGACGTCTGAACTTGGCCTGGGTGGTAAAATCCAGTTTATTCGACAGTCAATTACGAAATTGCTTTAACGTCGACAAGACAAGTCCTCTAAGAGAAAAAAAAAACAACAACAATACGAATAGTTCAACATACTTTAAAAAGCTGGCACTCTTATCTTTATCCGAAGCTTCCTTTGCCTCCAGTTTCGCGTCTTCTTCCTGGAAAGAAATACGTTTCAAGATGAGATTAGACAATAAGGAAAAGCAAGGACGTGGAGGCATTTTTTTTTTGTCTTCGAACTCTCAATTGCTTCACGAGTAATTCTCCTATATCCTGACTATGGTTCTTTTTGTTCAACCCACGTGACACATGACATTTGTAACGCCGTTGATCCCAACAGTGTGTTGACCTTGTTCAAGGTACGCTTAACCAGTTTTTAGGAAATGTACGTTACTTACTTTGTATCGCTTAATATTTTTACATTGTAACGTTACTTACTTTGTATCGCTTAATATTTTTTCCTCTTTGCTCATCCCGCCATCTAGGAAAGTGCAATGAAATTGATTTTACAAAGAATATATATTAAGCGTTCAAATGGGATTTTGTCTCGACTTGCAAAATCCCCGCATATTTCACCTCCGGCTAAACTTGCGATATGCCTTCTATATCCTACAGATAAGATCTTTTTTCGTGTTTTTTTAAGTGGTCGAGGACTGGTTGTTAAGTCGCTAAAAGAAAAACTTTGCATGTGTAGGATTAGTGGTTCCATTTCATTTGATAAAATTTCAATTGTGTCGAAAGTAAATCCGTGATTATTTTGGTTTTACTTTAACTCGTTCTGTGATTGGTCATGAAAATTGACGCCATCATCTCAACCAATCGGGTGCAAAACTAAAACCAATCGTGACTGCGTCACCCGCGTTTTCCCGCGCTTTTGACAGTTTGCCTCATTTTTTCTCATTGGCTAATAATGACGTGTACCTTAGTTCTGATTGGTAGGCGTGATTACTCTGGTTTTGGTATTTAGACAATCAGTTTAAAACTGCTCTACTCTCTGTGATTGGTTCGGAAAACTCGCGCCAACTTGACAACCAATCAGAAACTAAACAACAACCAATCACCACTTGTTAACTCGCGTTTTCCCGCGCTTTAGGTTGTTCGTTTGTTTTTCCTTGGAGTTCTCATTGGCTTTCTAGTTATGGTTTTCCAACACTCGATAGAAAAGCACTCTTCAAGTTGTAATTGAAGGATAGGAAATGCATGGAATGGCTGAGTGGAATAATTTGGTGAAGGGAGATATCACTTGTCTGCTTGGCAATGTATTGATATTATGGGGATAATTCTGTCTTTGTCACTCCTGCGAGTGAAAAATCGTACTTAGCATTATCCATCATCGCGGCAAGCCGTTTCTGCTTCTCATCATCGTCCATGTGTCTGTTCGAATGAGAAAAAGAAAATTGGAGGTTTCTGATCTGTTTATTCACTGAGTGCACAAAGGTCACTGGGAAAATACGAAAAGAGTCCTTGCTACGTCATTCTGCTGTGTTCTTGTTGGGGGTACTAGGTTCTTTGTATTAAAGAATCATAATTGATCTACAAATGAAAATGAAAGAATTGATCTTGGCTTACCTAGTGACTGCTGATCCCCTTTTCTGCTGTGGTTTTGCTCCGGGGGGTGAAGAAGATCTCCTTGATTTTTTAGGAGGGGAGGGTGAAGGTGAATGATTTCTCCTCCCTGCTGGTTTTGCTCCGGGGGGTGAAAGAGATCTCCGTAATTTTTGAGGAGGGGAGGGTGAAGGTGAGTGATTTCTCCTCTCCACTGGTTTTGCTCTGAGCGGTGAAGGAGATCTCCGTGATTGTTTAGGGGGAGAGGGTGAAGCTGAGTGACTTCCCCTCCCCACTGGTGATCGGGATCTATTCCTTCTCCTCCTTAATGGTGAAGCTGACGAACTTCGTCTTTGCCTTCTGTCATCTCTCCTCCCATCTCTTCTCCTGCTTTGTGGTGATTTTGATCGCGACCACATTTGAGGCTTTCTTTTCAAGGGAGATCTAAAGATATAAGCCGTGTAACCCATTAAGTTTGCAAGAGATTAGTCTTTGCGTCTCAAGCCGCGAACGTTTTGGTCGCCATCGCAAATAGAAATATTCTTGGCGACTAAATTTATAACGCAAGTCTCCAAATTCGAGGCCACTGTTCGCCAGTCATTTAGTAAGTTGTAGCTTTGTGACATGTCATAACTAAGTTTTCATGGTCTGAAGTCAAACTGAGATAAACTATTTCATAAAAAAATTACTAATGTTTTCTTCATACTGCTTACTCCAAAGACATGCTGTGTGTTCAACGGTTAAGTAGGTCATGTAATATAGCCCAAAGCGTTATTCTTTCTCTTTCTTGTAACCTAAATTTTATTCCAAGCGACCAATTCATGATTTGAGGTCGCCAAATGGCGGCTTTGAAAAAAGTTGAGCGGCCCTGTTTAAAAACGTTTTAACCCCTCCATTACCTGTGCCTGTTAGAGTAATGGTCTCCATTTCTGTAAGTCCTTCTCGCATCCTCATCGTCAATTCTTCTTCTTCTTCTTCAGAGAAAAATTAATTTAGCACAATTTTATTATCCTTAGTTTAATCTGAATTAAACAAAGCCCATCAATTGCTGAGTAAATTATCTCAACCCTATCATTCTTGAATGAAAAACAATCATGAGAATAAAGGATGTAAATATCAATTTAAGAAGCTGATTGTCAAACAAATTTTTTACCACAATTGGCAGAAATATCGCAACCTGATTGGCCAATTTGCCGTAGTCGATAAAAGTACAGACAACACTGCTTGCCTCAAAGTGTCACGTAACGTGTCACGCACTGAAAGAACCGTTTCAATTGACGTCGATATTGTGGTAAAAAACAAATCGACACTGGTTTAGCTTGGTCTGTACTCTTATCAACAACGATATTCGTCTTCGCAGTGGTCAAAGTTTGTTACGGATTCACTTGGCTGTGCCTCGTAAGTTCACAACATTTTGACCACTGTGATGAAGAATATCGCTGTCGATAAGAGTACAGACCACACTAAACCATGGTCGATTTTTTAACTTTTTTGTCAGTACCAGAGAAAATGTCAGGGGAACAGCGTGGAGAGTACGAATACTTATGTGTTTTAGGATGTAAAGGGTAAAATAATACAGTATATGGAAAATCAAGGTCTTGAGCCAGACAATTTCCGTTCAAAACATTCTCCAACAGGGCAAAATTACTAAACTATGTTTGGTTATCATGAAAATATGAAGTTCATATATTTTGAACTGCGGTTATAGATACGTATGATGCACGATTCTCGCAGTAGAGGATATCCATTGAGCTAACCGCCTCCCAGTTAGCCCAATAGAAAGAGCGCTGGACTGTTGTGCGGGAGGTCGAGGGTTCGAGCCCCGGCCGGACCAACACTCAAGGTCTTAAAATAATTGAGAAGAATTTGCTACCTTTCTATAACATCAAGAAATGGTTAGATATTCTAGTCTTCTCGGATAGGGACGAATAAATATAAATGGAGGTCCCGTCTCCTGCAGGGTTGGGGTAGGAGATGTTAATTTCCCACACACGAGATTACTGTGTGATGGATGTCCTCCCCTGGGGTGGGATGGGTGAGAAGGTGAGATCGATAGACTGAAGCGGCTGCCAGAGGCGCCTGATATGCTGACATCTGTTCTCAACCTTACACTGCACCCGTACTTCAGCCTCTGGGCTGCAAGTGGTCAGATATAAACTAATTACTACATTACTAGAAAGCGCTATTTATGCAAAAGCGAAAATCAGACTTGAAAAAAATCAGGCCTGTACGGGATTCGAACCACTGACCTCTGCGATACTAGTGCAGCGCTCTACCAACTGAGCTAAGAAGCCAACTGGGAGTAGGCCGTTAAGTTGATTCGTAATAGACGCTTGATTTTTTTCAGGTCTGACTTTATCTATTGCATAAATAGCGCTCTCTACTGCGAGGATCGTGCATCATAGGTATACTATGTTTACTAGCATTCTGACTGATTGACCCTTTAGCCCCCGGAAGAGACCAAGAATATATTATTTCTCCTTAAAATACCTACACTTTATAAAACAGAGAGGTGACAGGGTCTATGGAAAAACAAATAATAAATATCACTGGTGTTAATGAAAAAGCACCTTACCTTTGTGAATGTTGCTGATCCCCGTGAAAACCATTTATTTCATCCTTTCCATTTTCCAATGATCTCCTTTTCTTGCTTTCTCTTTTCCTTTCTCTTTCATCTTCCTCTGAGTCACCATTGTTATCTCTGTGTCTCTCATTTCTCCTTTTCTTCTTTCCATTTAACATTTCCCTTGAATTTTCATCTGTATCACTACTTCTTCTTCTGTCTCCAGCATTTCTTTTTTTCCCATTTTCTCGTGTCACTTCCCTTTCATCTTCTTGTGACTCACCACTTGTGTCGGCATGCTTCTTCCTTCTCTTTTCCTCTCTTTCTCTCTTAATTTTCTTTTTCTTATCTTTCTTCTTCTTCTTCTTTGACTTCTCCAAATTGGCTTGAAGCATTTGTTTTAACTGCTTCATCTTCACAGGATTATTGAGCAGTTCTTTCCTTTTCTCCTCCTCTTTCTTCTTGATCAAAAACAGTGGATCATCACGCACCTTAGCTGCCAAGTCATTTGCCGTGTTAGCTGCAGTGTCATTCATGAAGGAAGCACCTGGGGCAGATGATTCCTGCAAGAGAAATACAGGGTTGTCATTAACCCTTTAACTTCATGAAGTGATCAACATGTAACTTCTTCCTCTAATATCCATACATTATCCAGCAAACAGGTAATGAGAATACTCAAACTTATCAGGTAGAAGTTATCTTGATCTAACACCAAATTCTGGTAACTAATGAATAAGGAATTTTCAGCAGCCTGAGGGGAGAATTAACTTTCAGATCTTGGGTTAAGATCATTTTGCACCAGCTTCTATATAAATTGTGATCAAAGACAGAAAATAAGTACCGGTAATTTTAAACTGATTCTGACATCATCCTCAAAAAATTCCAGTATTCAAATATGCCCCAAAATGCTGGAAATCACGTCTCAGAGAGTATCAAACTCAATTTTTCTTCCACACTCCATGAGAAGGCCCTATTGCTTTGCAACATGCAATACTTGCAATGCAAGCATAATTCAATCCATCCACCTATTCAGTTCAGGTATAATTCTCATACATTTCCTGCTGACAACCCTGAATATAATTCAAAACACAGGGTGTTGCTAACAGCCCAATTCTTGTAAATTTCACAATCTGCAAAAAGGCAATCACCACATGATTGTAATTTAGGGTTTTATAATTTTGAATCTCTCATAGTTTTTAAAGTTGAAAGTATTCCAACTATGCTGAACACGGCACCAGAGCAATATCATTGGGGCTTTCTGACCAATCAAGGTTTGAACATTTCTCTGAGCATTTTAAACCCCTCACCCTTCAATTCCCAGATGTGATTAACAAGTAACTTCTCCCTTTAGCACTTATACATTATTCAGAAAACAGGTAGTGAGAAAATTCAAACTTATCAGGTAAAAGTTCTCACCTTGATCTAACACCAAATTCTCATTATTAATTTACAAGAAAATGTGTAGCAGTCAGAGGGGAGAATTCACAATCAGATCTCAGAACTTCAAGGGTTAACCCCGGGAGTGACTAGCATCTAATTTCTCCTTACAATATCACCCCTGAATCACACATTAGAGTTGTAAGAATAACGAAAATGATCAACAACTACAGAAATTCTTGATTGATAAGCATATTTTCCTTGTCAACATTTCAAGGAAATGTATAGAGAACAGTGTGGAGAATATGCATACTGATTTTATGATGTAAAGAGTTAGACTATACCTCTTCATCATCCTGTGCCATGGGGTCTACAGCCTTGTCAACAGATTTTCCCAGCAGATACAATTCATGATCAACCTGGCCTGCAGCTGCAGCATACATCCAGTCAAGACGCTCTCCTTTTTTTCTGATTTACAATTACAAGATAAAAAAATTACCACAAGGTATAACTAACAATTAAGATCCCAATCTCTGGATTCTTTTAGTGTAAAAGGTTGATGAGATTGACACACCAAGAAACTATCACCTATAGAAATGGAGAGCACACATTTAATTTTTTTTTTTGTATAAATGCACTATTCTTTTTTTTAATTTAAAACCCTTTAACTCCTATGAGTAACTAAGACAGAATTTCTCCTTACAATATAATAATAATAATAATGATAATAATAATAATAATAATAAAGTTCTTAAAATGCATTATACATAAGTCTCAATGCTTTTACATAAGATTTAAAGTAATTACAAAATACGATAAAAATTAAACTATAAATTAAAAGCGATTTTAAAAAGGTGAGTCTTGAGCCTGGTTTTAAAGGAATCAAAGGTTTCGGAATATCTTATAAAATCAGGAAGTTTGTTCCAAAGCATGGGGGATGCGCACACACAAAGGATCTGTCGCCATAGGTAGAGGTTTTAGATCTTGGGACAGACAGATTGATGGACCCTGAGGAATGGAGGGAGCGGACAGGTGTATAGCGAGTTAACAGATTTTCCAAGTAATCAGGAGCCAGATTAAAAGACCTTGAGGAACAGAGAGAGCAGACAGGTGTATAGAGAGTTAACAGATTTGCCAAGTAATCAGGAGCCAGATTAATAGACCTTGAGGAACGAAGGGAGCGGACAGGTGTATAGCAAGTTAACAGATTTGCCAAGTAATCAGGAGCCAGACCATAAAGTGCTTTATAGGTGTAGAGAAGAATATCAAGCAGACAAGTCTTGAGAATAAAGGAAAATATCAATTAGGGGATTATTAGTTGATCAAATGCCAAATTCTCTGATCTGGCATCATAAGAATTGTATGGCAGACAATAAGGAGAATTATTAACTAGATCTTGGGAGTGAAAGGGTTAATTAACAAGAAGACAGGCTCATGTTCTTATTTTACTTTATTTTACACACTGTTACTCACTTTCCTCACTATTTATCAAGGAATCGAAGAGGGGGCAAGTAGCATAGCCAATCATGTTGCAGCATTTTTGGACAAATGATGGTAGATTTTTACCAAGATCTGATTGGTAAATCTTCCTTATAGCTGCTATACAGTTCCTCATGAATAAATGTTGTTTGTGAGAAATTTGTGTTATATCGAGATAATCTTACCAAACTTTCAAGTCTTTCTATTCTCATCACTTGCTTGAAGAATAACATATTGAAATTGTGAGGAGAAGTTACATTTCGATCACTTCTGGAAGTTAATCCTTTAATTCCCAGAAGTGATTCACATTTAACTTCCCCCTATCCAGCAAACTGGTAACGAGAATGCTCGAACTTATCGAGTAGAAGTTATTTTGATCTAACACCATTTTGTCGTAACTAATTTATAAGGAAATTTGTAGCAGGTAGAGGTGAGAATTAAAAGTCAGATCTTAATGGATTGAAGAATGCAGCAAACTTATCGAATAATCGGTACAAGCTAACAGTTGTGGGAGTTTTCATGTGATAAACTCTTTTCTCAGAAATCAGTATCATAAATAACTTCTGTAGTTTCCCATAGCTTCACTCACTTGGCTATTCCTTGCTCCACTGCATGTCTCTGCATCCCTTCTCGAGCTCTCTCCTCCTCCAGCTCTTTCCGTAGCTGATCGATCTTTTTCGCCTCTGCTTCGGCCTTCTGCTCTGCTTTCCACACTTTCTCCACATTTCGCAACGTTTGTGGATGCCAACTCTTCTTCAAATTCTGTTTGAAACAGAAGAAAGGGTCAAATAACGAATTACTTATATCCAGATCCTCTCAAAAATACTTCAAATAGGCCCAATCTCTTGGTATTTTAACTTAAATCTCACCAAATCGCCTCCCCCCATGATGAAAATTTTTACGTTCGTTCTCTCCGCGTCAAATGTGTTTATTGTAGGCAGCGGAAGCATGCATTGTCGCATGCGTCAAAAATTCGTTTCCAGTGTCCATGGGTAAAAAATAATCAAACATTCTGATCTGTAAACATTTTTGACACTTCTTGCAAATTTATGTTCTAGAAGAAAAGCGTTTCCTTTATCAACCCGAACCCATTAATTTTTCAGAGATTTTTAGTGCGGCAATGTTTAATTTAACGTCCTTGTTGCCATGACGTGCAATCTAATCAGAGTGACAGCGGTGATAGAGCGGTGAACCCAAACAATTTGAATTCTGTATTGAACATGTGTTTTGATGATCTATCACGAAATGATTTGCACCCAAAGAAGAGAACTATGTCATTTGCTCTCCTGAGACTGCACTGATGACTTCAAATGAAAGCGTAAGTATGGAATTAAATCGTACCTTACTGTTTTATTTTTATGGAGGATACACAAATTCGCGTGTGTGAGATTCGATAGAGTTCATATGGTAAACTGTTCAGACACATTTACTTTTCATGTGAAATCACATGTTTGTCTCAAATAAAACGGTTCTTCGATTCAAGCCATGTTTTGATTCAACGATTTTATTGTTATGGTACCACAAATAGAGGCTTGGATGGAATAGGAAACAAGTTTTGATAAACTTTTTCACATCTCAGTTCAGCTGTCACCTGATTTAGATTGATGACTCTATGCAATGAGTAACTTTTAATTATATCCTCTCTTTTCCGTATGTGCTATTACAGAATTCTCTTTTCAGGAAGTTTCCCGTAAAATAAACTGATGCGACGATGTGTAGTGGAGAAATTTTGTTTATAATCTTAAAATCTTTCTCGCTGTGGTATAAATGATATTGACATTTTAGTAATGAGGAAATAGTGTACTTAAGACTTTTTAATTCTCTTCCTAACTTCCAATTAAGAGGAAACCTTCTTCATTAGGACATCTATGTTTTCTTCAATCTAAAGTTCCTTTTTCACAAATGGACATGTTTAGGTTTGTGTGTCAGAAGCAAGTCATTTTTAAACGATTTTTTCATGCCTTTGGCAATATCAATTATATTGCTTGACAGTTTGTTTTGCAAATATTTTGATGACAATAATATAACTTTCTCCCATGAATATTCAAATTCAAATTTTTGTCATGATTGTTCATTTGATAGAATTTGTTTTTAATTTTCAGTCACCTTTTCTCCTGATGTGTTAGGTTGATGGAAAATATCTTCAAGAAATATCTAATCATTTCTTTTCATCAAGATGATAGTGGCTAAGGTATTCCTGGTATTTATTTTTATAGGCAAAGCGAGAAACAAAAGAAGAGTTTGCATTTTCAAAAAGAATGTACTGCAAATAACCAAATACTTCTCCCTAGATGTTCAAATTTTTTTCAGGAGGATGAAAATCTGGCACAAAATTCTGAAAGTCATGTTCAATCTGGTTCATCACAAGATGGTAAATGACTGCTCTTTAAAGCTGACTTTTTTTATCGGTGGTTTTACAAGGAGATATAAGTATTTGACAAAAATGGTTATTTCATCTTGCATGATGTGGAAGACCCAGTGACCTCGTAGTCAGTGCACTGGCCTACAGGGTAAGAGGTCTGGGTTTGAGAGCTGGCTGGATCAATGTGTAGGGAGTACCACTGGGTACTGGCAAATTGTCAGGGAAGCCTTCATGAAATGCTAAGGGATAGTCTTGCTATGGACTGGTATCCCATCCAGGGGTGTAGTAATACTTCTAGTTGCTTCATGCTAGGGAAACTACAATAAGCTGTGGCTGGATGCACCCCTTGACTAGCTTGCGTTGCAGCCAGACGTGTCACACAATCCCGGTTATGACTATACCGGTGGTTTAGACTGTCTGTGACGCAGGCTAACCTTGACTTGAATACAGATTTTACCTTTACTTCATATCCATTCTAGTAATAACAGAGTTGTTGGTAGAAATTGAAGTAGGCTTCTATCCAACCTGAAGATGGTAACTGTTACAAAGAGTGAAACAGTAAGCTACTTTGTACAAAACCCCAAGCAGGTAGTGTTATGTCGCCGTGGCTGCCTGATAACAAGAACCCTGACCATAATAAGTGTCAGTAAAGAGAAAATATCAAAATGACATTATTTTTTTTAGTCCAGTTTTGTTATAAATTATTGGTTTGTAGGTGTTTTGCCAACCCCTCTGCATGCTGCTGCTGTAAATGGAAACAAGTCTCTTCTTCAAAGGCTTTTGCAAGAAGGTAATTGAAACTAATTTTCTGTCTATCTATGGCCTGATAAAACCCCACTCTGTTATTAATGTTAAGGGCATCCTATGGTTTTTTTTTTTTTAATTTTTTAATTTGGAAAATTACAAGACTACAATACTGCAAAACTACAATACTACATTACTACTGTACTACAAACTTTAAAAATAATTATTTTAAAATTTACGATTTTGTAATAATGTAATGTGATTCTATTATTTAGAGATTATTCCTTGGAAATTGCACACAAACTATTTTTTGTTCATGAAATGAAATGCATAAATTATAACAAGGGTTAAAGTGAAGGAGATGATGACAGCTAGTGAAGGCAATAATAGTTTTAATCAAAGGTTTATTGAACTAATTTTAAATTATTTGGATATATCAACAAAGTTGAAATGGTAAATAATTTTAAATGAGTTTTTCTTGATGTTAGATGAAAGAAGCCTTATCAACAGGGGGGACCAGTTTGGCCGCACTCCTCTGGTAGGAATCTTTGAATTAAATAAATTGCCAGTGGTTTAGTGTGGTCTGTGCTCTTATTGATAACAGTTTTTGTCATCTTAGTGGTCAAAATGTTGTGGACTCACTCAGCTACACCTCATGAGTCCACCATATTTTGACCATTGAGGTAACAAATTTATATGGTTGTCGATAAGAGTATAGACCATGCTGAACCACTGTTGATTTTTTTTTTTTATCACAATATCTTGGAACATCTCCCCCTCTTTTATCTTTAAATTAATCTATCATGATACTTGAGTAAAACTTTGTGACTTTATCTGCACAGGTTTACAGTGTCTTGGGGGACAGACTTGACTGTGCAGAGCTGTTCTTGAAAGCTGGAGGCAATGTAAGATTAGTTAGGAGTTTCATTCTTCCCAAGCGTAACTTTTTGGAAATCATCTTGTACCAATCCATAGATGATTTTTGGGTTTGAGCTCTTCCCAGGGATAGGGAAGGTGTGTGATTCGAACTTCTTTTGAGAAATTTCAATTAACATTTTTGGGTGGGTAGAGATATTTTATGGGACCACATGAATCACACATTACAGCAGCAACAGCAAAGCAACAACAGGAAGTGACCATTTCCAAATCTAATAAGTAGATAGAAGGGCTCTAATTTAAGGTAGCACAACACTTCCTTCACTTTGAATTCACAGTTGGGCTTTTCCACATGAGACATGAAAATTTGACAGATTTTCAGATTCAAAATATGAGAGCCAAACTTACTTTTAATGAAAGATTATACATAGTTCTATAAGAATCCAAATCTAGATTGGCAGTAGTAGCTACGCCCAGGTTGTGTGATGCCATTGTTTTTTAGGGTTTTTATTTACCGAATAAGCCATTTTACATACCAATATCTAAATTGCTATATCTCAAAGAAATTGATTGCCATGAATCAGATTTGGAGATCTTAACTACCCACTAGGATGAGCCTTTCAATGCGAAAAGAAAAAAATGCTTAAACATTTAATGCCTCAGACTTACAAAGACATAAAAAGTGTTGTGGACATGACCTTCAGGGTATGATTCAGAGCAACATTTATTTAATTTCTATGTAGGTTCTCAACTGTTTCAGGTCTTATTTATGCTGCTCCTATTGTTAAGTATTATGATAATTTTGACACCCCAGCTTGCTCAAATTTGTCAACTATTTAAGAGATAT